TGGAATTTGTTATCTAGAGTAGCTTCTCAATCAAATAAAGAAGGTAAGGTATTTCTCATGGTGTTTAAAAACTGAACTTCACAAAAGAAATTCTAAATTACCAGTTCTTACCATGGTATTGTTACAAAAGCAAACTCACCTTGAATATTATGTGCAGTTTTGGTCACCACAATATAAGAAAGATATTAAACTATTAGAGAGCGTCCAAAGGAGAGCAACAAAAATGGTGAAGGGCCTCAAGGGGAAGGCATATGAAGAGCAGCTGAGGTCACTTGGTCTGTTCAGCCTGGAGAAGAGGAGATGAGGGGAGACCTCGTTGCAGTATACAACCTTCTTGTGAGGGGAAGAGGAGGGGCAGTGGTGACCAGTGACAGGGCCTGAGGGAATGGCCTGAAGTTGTGTCAAGGGAGGTTTAGGTTGGATATTAGAAAAAGGTTCTTCACCCAGAGGGTGGTTGGGCACTGGAACAGGCTTCTGAGGGAAGTGGTCATGGCATCAGGCCTGATGGAGTTCCAAGAAGCATTTGGATGATACTGTCAGCCATGTGGTGTGACTCTTGGGGATGGTCCTGTGCAGGGCTGAGAGTTGGACTTGATGATCCCTGTGGGTCCCTTCCAACTCGGCGTATTCTGTGATTTATATGTCTCACTGCAACTACAAGACTAGCCTAGGTAGGGTTCTTTGGCTTTTGCTGTCAATGTGGAGCTATTGATCCATCAACATAAATCCTTACTTATCTCCAGTCAAGTTTATAGGACAATGAAATTATAGGATTGCTTGAATCAATCAATGTTTCTAAAGCAAGCTGTAGAAATATAAACAAGTTACTGATTATTTAATAAAGTCAATTTGCTTAGAAATGCCTGGCGACGGGCAGCAGATGTTACAGTAATTTCTGCTTTCTCTGGAATTTCGCAGGGGATACAAGATCTTAATGTTACTATTAGCAAAGGTAACTTTATTTTAGAAACTCATTCTGAACTCTCACAGCAAGAGGAAGAAACTGTCATTCCTTTTGACCACAAAACCTGTGCTATTTCTAAGTGGAGTTCTTTGAAATAACTAGGATATCTCACAGCTTGTTGCTTTTAGAGGGGACTTAGTACAGTGGCACTACATTTAGTTAGCATAACAAGTTTTTTAGCTCCTAAGATATTGACTGAGTTTGAAGTACCAAAACTTTTAGTCAGCTTAGAGTAAATTTGTTAGTGAAGTACAAGTTTGCATAATATTTTAGCTTTCCTAGAATTTAAAGCTGGGTGCCTGTTTCCTGAGAAGCATTTAGGTTAATATAACGAGGTTCTGACTTGGCAAAACAATTTAAGTGTAGAAGTGTGTCTTTCAGTTTCTCAGTTGGAAGTGTCATGAAGGTGGCCTCCTCAGTGTGGTTTTACAGTTATTGTGTTTGCCTTCTGAGATCCAGTTTATTGGACTGTTTTTATTCAAGGTGGTTCAAGAATCTTCCATGGGCTCATGGTGTCCTTTTGGTGCTCCCATCTGTTTTGAATGTAGAACAAGATCTTTATTAGTAGACTCTGGTGCCTTGGTGGTCTGTCTGTAGGGTAGTTTATCATAGTTTGTCATGCAGGAGTACAAAATCATCTGATTAATCTGCCTAATCAATCCTTGAACAGGGATAGTAATAATTAAGTCACAGATGGCCATTATAAAACCCTCTATTCCAACAGATTAATATTCCAAGTACTTTGAATATTAGGGTTGTTTTAAAATTTAAAAAAATCCATGTGAAATGTGTCTTTGATCTTTTTGATTGGTCTACCTTCAAGATATTAAGAATTCATTTTGGCTTTGGAAAGGTTTTTGTCTTTAAGATAAATTATTATCATACATACTTACACAGTTTTGTACGTGGGCTTTGTTAAAGCTTATACATAAACTAGTCTGATTTTTTTTTTAAGCCGTTTTATGGTATTTTGGTCTGCACTATTTTGTTGCTAAGCTGTCTATAACAGAATGTAGTTGATCTGTGCTACAAATTTCTATAGACCCTGGGCTTCCTTCACCTATGATAAAGTTGGTGTGGCTCAGCCTTAATTAGATTATTATGGACCTAAAACATACAAGGTAGAATGGCACGAGAGGAGTTGAAATTGTTCATTAGCAGGAGTGCATGGTTAGTCTAGCTGGTGTAGTCATTAGCTTCTAAAATAGATAAGACTACACTTTCCATTTGATATGCTTTGAAGACAACTCATAGTCCTTAATGTGATTTAGGTTTACTGAGAAGGTCTATGATCCTACTTTTTAATAAGCTCTGTATTTCTTGCCGGAGTGATACCAGTGTATGTCAAGCATTGCTGAGGTTCATAGCCACAGTTGTATTCATTTGGAAGTTAAAATGCATTGTTTTTGGAAGAGCATTTACAGAAAATATTATTGCAGTCAGACAGGGCTTTAAGACATGAAGGCTTCCTGTAAAACCTGGATTGTCTGGGTGCCAGGCTTTTTTTTTTCTTTTACAGTTGAGGAACAATTCAGTTCCTCAGACTTCGAATGCTGTTACGTACTTCCCTGTTTAATACTTACTGCTGCCAACATCTGTGCAGGCTGAAGCTCTGCCTGCTCAGAATTGAATTGCTTCTGTCTTGTATGTCTGCCTTTTGCTGGGGAGCTCCAAGGCAGCGCCGGGGAAGGAGGGATGTGATGGATGTCTTCTTGTAGATAACGTTTTGTCTGTGATGAGCAAGGCAGTGATCTATGGAATTTACTTGCTGCAGGAGAGAAGAGCTCGGATGGCACCGTGTCAAGGAGCTACAAAGCTTGGTAGATGCAATCTGGAGTGAAGCCTGGTGGAGGCAAATGCAGACAGTGCTGCTGACTCATAGCAGTCTTAGAGGAAAAGGCTCTCTTCCACTTCTGCTTGCCTCTGGCTTCCTCCAGCATGTGGTTGGTGAGAACTTTGTCTCCCTAGTTCTCTAGGGAGAATAATATTGACCAGTGTGGCTCAACAAAAGGAAGGGAGGTTGGTGAAAAATATCTGTACTATTAACTGGTTAATTAGGATGACATTTCTCATGTAAAGGACCTCTAAAGAGAGACTCGGGATTGATAAGTAGCCTGTTTGCATTGCTGTTTGCATCCCTGACTCCTTTTCCCCCACCCTGCAAAGCTGAGATCCTTAACTCTGAGATGATAACTGAGTGCCTGGGTCTGTGATGAGGAGTGCTTCGGGTAGGTGTTGGAGTTGATGCTGTTGTGCCACCCTTCCTAATGGCTGGAGGTGCTGAGTTAAAATCCTTCAGCAAGTAACAGGTGATGAGGCTTAAAAAATAAAACAAACACCAACATCAAAACCAGGAAAGGATGAAAAGAAAAGCTTGATTATGTGTTGTCTTACAAATTGTATGCTGATGTGAGAGCCTATTTTCTTTCATAATCCATGCATTTGAGAACTATTCATCCCACCTATTTCCCGATGTGACTGGCAAAAGACTCCAGTGCTTCTTAAAAGACAAGTGAGGTGTGTACTTGACCTGTGTGTGCTGATAGGAGTTATGCAGTCGACTTTAATAGGAGAGCATCTGAACTCTATATACAGAAAAATATGTCTTTTAACTCAAAAGCCAAGTAAATAAAAGTACAGTGAAATCTGAATATTATTTCTTACCTTCTACACTTATGGAGATTAGTTTAGTTTTTTGAAGAGACTTTAATACATATGGATATTTGATTTTTTAATTTTTTTTTTTTAAAGAAGTCCTACAAAATTAGTTACTGGTTGGGGTTGGCTTCTACCCACTGATTAATTTCTTGTGTCGCTGATCTTGATTCTTGTTGTAGTTGTTCTCAGATAACTTGCCAGCAGCAGCAAACCAGCAGAGCTGTTATTGACCCAGAATAGCAATAAAGTTGTTAATACAAGCAAGGTTTTCTGTGAACTGTGTTGCTATTCTGTGGAGCTGATGAGCTGGTTAACACCTTTTACTTATTCTGCAAGGATCTGAGGCTAGAAGGGAATTAATGCAGCTGTGAAGCACAGGAGAACCAAAATAGCAATGATTCAGTTAGAGTAGAGCCAAATCTTCTTAAAATTAAACTCCATTGTGTTAGAGACTTTACTTTTTTTGATACCTATATTATTAACTTCTCTGATAAATGCAGGAAATGTAATACAGTGATATTGGAGAAGCCTTGCACATTAAATCTAAGCTATTGTCTTGGGGTTGTAATAGAAGAAACCACTCTTCATCTGGTGTGTTATAAGAGTTTCTGTTTCTCAAGGTTACCATATAATTCACAAACTTAGTTTTTGCGTAGCATTGATTTCCTTAACTTTCAGGTAGGTTGTTTATAATGAGTGGGAAGTCTGCAGTACATATATGAGTATTTATAGTTTCATAAGTAACAAACAATACTGGACAGTTCAGGGAGGTTTTTGTCATGGGCAAGGGCATTTACTTGAAAGCTGCTGCTGTTGTTATCCTGAAGATTTTTTTGATTATGGAATTTGGTTACTTTGGTGTGTAACAGGTTGGTGGTCTTCTCTCATAGAGTTTTCCTCTAATTCCTCTTTTTAGTTGTGATAATTTAAAGTTAACCTTGTTCCTTTCTTTCAAGATATAACCAGCTTGTAAATTAAGTGCTAATGAACTTTTATGTTGCAAAAATGCTCTATTTTTGCTGTTTCGGAGAATGACACTGTTTGTATGTCAGGGCACCCCTGAAAGTGTCTTAATATTTTTCTTCCATGATCTGTAACATGGTCAGGCTCTCTTCCTCTCTTTTTTTCCCCACACATTCCCCAGTTTCCCATACTTGATGTCTAAAAACCTATTCAGCAGCACCGATGTCTCAAGCGGTGGGTATGTAAATATTTACTGGCATGACAGTCAACAACAGTGGGAGGGGGAAAATTGCTACATTCTACCATTCAGGGAACCTTCCAGTTCTGTGTCATAGTGTGCAGTCGATGAGAAGAGGAAAGGTTTGCAGTTTGTACTTGACATGTTTTTGCTCTCTCGGTTCCTGTTTTGTTGCAGATGTCATTCATATAACAGTGGAAGGCTTTATCAGCTCTTGCCGAGGCTTTCCCCTGCACTCAGCACTCAAGGCTGGAGCTATAGTGGAGGAAAATGGAGCCTGCAGATCTCCTGGCATTTGCCTCTGTAGAAATGAATAGTACAAGAATCACTCTGGCTTTGCTGGTGGTCTTCCTGGTCCTGCTGTATTGGTAAGTGATAACAGTGGTATGGGCTGCATATCAGACACAAAGCCTGCTGAAGCTCCACCAACATCTACAAAGTCTTTTATTCATGTGAGGAAAGTGGAAGATAATTGCCTGGGAGGGAAATGGAGGGGGAGTTGGTTTGGATGCGGAGGTTGTACTAAATACTCACAAAACTCATGATACTTTTAGAGAATTCTCCCCTTGCAATATTGTCTTGTAAGTGCTTTACCAACAAACTGCTAACAAAAATTGTCTTCAAAATGAAAAAAACCCCAACTTATCTGTTGGTTTCTTTTTAATTTCTGTGGGCAGCAGGAACATTGGTTAAAAAGAAACCAAGTTTTCATTGGACTTCTTCTCTGTACTATGCAGCACAGTTGTCCCTTGCCATGTTTCTTGGCTGAACTGTACAGACACTTTAACTGCTGCTTAAATTTCCTCTCTTGTTCTTTCCACACTGACTAGTGGATACAAATCAGAATAACAGCAGCCCTGATGGTTAGCACAGTAGGCATTGCAGTGAGCTGTGCTGAAATGAGAAAACCTACTCTGTCCCAACAGTTTATTTCAGAAATTAAATTAACAGAACTGGGAGTACTTTTCTGACTGTTTTTACTTGTATACCTCCTCAAATCCTGCTTTCCAGTCAAAGAATGGTTTTTTTCTCAATTGTATGAGTGTTCAAGAAAAAGGTGCGGGTATGGTTGTAGAAAAAGAACATGTGACAAACCCCCAAAGCAAACCTGGAAGAGATAGTGATGGCACCATGAGTTTAGCACAATTGTTGTAGCAATGTAAATGACAGATCACTTTTGCATATATTTTGTCATTCTTTCACTCTGTTGAGCATCAGTTTCCTTCTGTGTCCAGGGAGGGTCTGGAGAGACTAAAAAGAGTCAAACTCATATCTGACATGCATTGCCATATCAAGTAGGTGGGTGGCCCTGATTTCTTAACAAGATCTCCCCAAATCATCACAAATGTCCAAGTCCTATTTCCTTTGAATTTTACTGGGAAAAGAATGGCAGCTCTAGATCTTTAAGTAAGACCGTGCTGTTTAGCTGCCAACCTGTTCATCTCTGTGAGCTTAAGGGGATGCGAGGGAGGACAGAGGCACATCCACAGTTCAGAAAAGCAGCAGATCAGGTGGTGAGATCTGACCACCTGTGAGTTATCTGAAAGAGCCTGATACTTCCCTGTAGTACATGTCCAGATGTGCAGAGATCTGTGAAGACGCAGAAGGTACATGCTGGTGTGTCCTTGTCCAGGGCCTCATTTTCCGGTTCCATTTAGGGAAGGTGGTTCCTATAACACCTATAACATGGTGTTTTAGAGCACATTCAGTCTTGCCATTAACAAAACTAGCTCTGATTGCAGAGTTAAGGCAGGCTCATGGCTATGGTCAGTCACTGCTGAACAGAGTGCCTATCATTTAAGTTTCAAAAAGTTCAATTTAGCAGGGAGGTGGGAAATTGTCTGACAGTAGAGACACTCCATTTAGTGTGCCTCTGCTGGTTGAAGGTGAGTTCTGTGAAAGCATCAAGAAAATGAAGCTGAAGTTTTATATGGGGAAAGTGTTTTATACTCTTCCCTGCCAATGGTTATTACTGCCCAGTCTTGTTGATCTACAGATTCAGGTTGATTTTTAAGCAGCTTATTAAATACAGGTGTCTACAGATCACTATTCCAATGAGAAGCTTAAACCTGCAATGAAATATGCTGGGCAACATCTGTGGGCTATTGGTAGGTTTGCCTGGTGGCTGAGTTATTCAGACTCATTTATCTCAGTAAAATGCAGTGACCGAACCTGTAAGCTAATATCTTGAAGCACATCTGCTAGTGTGGTGATTGTTGTTCAAACTTGTCAACTTATTCATTTTGAGTCTATTTTGTTTAGTTTTTTTACTGCATGCCTGTTTAAACAGATGAGTAAAGCTCAATGCATGCTCACAGATTGCTTTATTCATGGCTGAAACCTTGGGTTCAAGGAATCATTTAAACAATAAAATAGTTGCCAATAGAAATGCAGGTTCTTAATGCTAGAGAATGTTTTTATTACAGTCATGTTGCATACCTGATTATCTGGCTCTTCTAGGAGTCAGAAAACATGAGTGTTGTGTATGGCAGGAGTGATAATAAAGTAATAACTCTTAAAGTTCTTTTGATGTTTATGTTTTCATTCTAAGCCTTATTCTCATTATTTAATAACTCCTGAATTATTCTTTTTCTAGCTTTTTATGCCAGGATTGTGCCTTTTCAGAGGAGCAGTCATGCGGGAAGGGAGGAACGAATATTTGCTGTTGTAAATTTTGTTATGGTAGTAGCTTATAATTGATCGAGGTCATGTTGTGTCAGCTCTTGTGTGAGTACAAAGAACAGGCAGTTTGTCCACCTTGTTGGCTGTAAAAGGCTTAGTAAGGCTCAAAAGAAGGCAGTTGCAGGTAGAGGAGAGAGTCAAAAGATCTAATGCACACTGGAATAGGAACATGGTGATGGCAGCTGTCACACTATTGAACTATTTCCTTTGCATGATTTTTGTGGGTGGGGGTACTCAGTGGTTTAAATGACAGCCTTGAGCTGCTGTCCATCAGCTCAGCCTCAGTCACTGTTAGTGTGTGTGTGTATTGTAGGGCCAGCTGTGATTTGTCACAGTTCAGCTGGCAGGTGGTATCTTGCCAAGCTGTGATAAGACCAATCTCTTCACATTTTTGGGTATGGTGAGGTCATATGAAGAATGGGTTGATTGGGAAGGGGAGGAGAGGCTATAGCGGCATGAAAATAAACTTCTGGGGAAGATAGAGTCTTAGGAAGAAACTTGAATGATTTGATAATTTTTTTGGCTGTTATTTATGGTACAATGAAGATCATCAATAACTCTTTATAAAAAATCCTTTAATAGCACATTTCGGATTCCTCATGTGTTGTCATCAGTGTGATATGAGGGTGATGCTTGTAGTGCAGTGTGTCAATTTTAAGTCAGTAGAAGTAAGTATAATCTCTGTGTTTGTCTTCCACATGACCTTAAGTCAGCTATAAGGAGAGGCTTTTTAAGGTAGTTTATCTGATGTTGAGAGTAGAAATAACTGAATAGCTTTTGGGTACATAGCCTCTTCAGATATGAAACAGGAAGAACAAACGCGAGGTTGGTTTTTTGGTAATCTGTTAATTCAAGAGGCTGCTCAAACCTGTTTGCTGTCCCCCATTCCTGAAGGACTTAGTTGTCTGCTACCCTCCCCATTCTACTTGTTCTCAGTAGGTCAAAGTCTCTTCTTGCAGACTTCATATCATGGATTCTTGATGGCTGTTGCTACATCATTGCTATTGTGATAGGCAACTAAATTACTGCTTTATTGACCACAAAAAGGCATAATATGGCTAAATACCTGAAGTTCAGTCATACCAGTGGCACAACACTTAGCACTCTTAAAAAAATCTCTTGTCCATGTCCCTCCCACCCCCTGTGATTTCTTTCTACCCAAACTGATCATCAGAGCAGTTTCTTTTAAGTGCACTTGCTTTCTCAGTTGCAAGCACTGCTGTCTCTATTTGCCTAATCTCTGTGAATCTCAGGGTTTTTTTCAGGCATGAAATAAAATCAAACACTTAAGGGAGGGATGAGGTTAACATTTACAAATCCCAGTGATATTCTCTATTGAAAAATACAGTAGTATATCTATGCAACATATTGTTCATTTTCATTTCAAACATATGCTGAGTTGGATATCCCATGCTTGGCTGTAGCTGCAAACATTGCTTTGTGTCTTTCTTTTTGCTGTCTGGGTAGATGTTTGATAAAATGAAAGCAGGAGTTTATCTTGCTTTAAAGTTTAATGTACCATAAGCTGAGCATTATGAAGAAGCTGTCACAGCATTCAGATACCTGTGTTCAAACTGGATTATCAACCCCTTGTCTAAACAAACCTGGGTTTTTTTAGAAACATGGAGGTTGGATGGGAGTGTTTGTTTATGTTTGTAAGATACATGTCTAATTGCATGCTTTCAAACATAGCAAAACATATACTAATGGTGTTCTTGGCTGTATCTGAAAAGCTAAGTAATTCAGAAAGATGTCATTTGCACATTTTTACATTCTACATTTTTTACAGTAATGTTAATAATCACTTGTGTTACAAACATGTATAGAGAGCCTAAGAGATTTGGGTTCCACTGGATCAAGGTACTGTCCACCCATTGCACAGCAAGTCAATCCTGACCCAAAGCATCTGCAGTCTCTGATCAGAAAGGATGAAAACTGAGTATTTTTCTTCCTCTGATCTTAAGTTTAGAAGTTTGCATACAGAGAGATTTGGGAGATACTTACATATGGGAGACATGTCAGAGTTCATCAGTTGGTACCATACCTGTACTAGACCACATCAGAAGTTGAGCTCAGGACAGGTAGTATTTCAATACAGGTGACTTCAGTATGATTGCTTGTTTGGCATTACTTGGCATTCTGTGGTTTTGGAAAGGGAAAGTTTAGAGGTGATCTTTCTCCAGCAAAAGCTTCATTCTGGTTTTGCAGAACTTTGCTCTTTGGGCTTGAGTTAGGTAAAACTGAGGTCAAATAGATCTCAGGTGTTGGGTTTTTTTTCCAAATCAGGTACTATCTAATACGAGATCTTCGACCAATTTTTACTGCTTGAAAAATCAGTATTTACCAAAGATGTTTGATGGCTAGAGCTTTGAGCTTATAGTCTGAGCGCAGGCATAAGGTGAGCAGATTATTCTCCCTAACACATCCAGATAATGCTTCTGGACAGACCCAGGGACAGGCAGTACAAAGTCTGGATCCTTTCTGTATCCACCACTGACTGTGGGTGGGCAGGCTCTAACCTTTCCACCTGTTGCTGCTGCCATCAATGTTGCAAGGACCACTATGGCTGAAAACAGACCTGAGTACAGAACATCAATATACACTCAGAAAGATGTACAGCTCCACTCTCGCGTCAGGCTGTTTGAGCTGAGAGGTTCAGAGAGGCATTCTAATTCTCAGATGTTAA